TTCTACCAGACAGGGATGCGGACCGTCCGTAGTCCGTAGTCTGGTGTAATGATCTGGATCCAGATTCAGATTTCAGAGACTTTGGGCAACGATATTTTTATTTTTTTTGCGGCCCAAGGCGTTTCGTCAAGCCGTGAGCCACCAACCAAATTTTTTTTTATTAATTTTATTAAAAAGGTTGATTCTTGAAGCCTAACCAATTCAATCACCTATCGAATTTGGAGAGAACAACCTTTCATACCTTTTTTATTGTCATTACGCAGGCTACCCGAGTGGTCCGGTTCCACTTGCATCGCCGGGCAAAAAAGAAATAAAAAAATAAAAAAATAAAAATTATATTTTAAACTGTTTTTTTTTCTAGGCTACCAACCGGGCCGCCCGGGTCCCGGGTGGCCAGCCCGTGCAAGGAGGTCCCAGCAAAAAAAAAATAAACAATTCCAAAAAATCCGAAAAAAAACTATGTTATGCAGAAAAATAAACTGAACAACGTTTGCCTCAGGGTCACATCGAAATTCTTCACCAAAATTAAACTAAAAAATAAAAATTAAGAATATTGTTTTTATTTTTAATTTTTTGGCCCGGCCGGGCAAGTGACCCCGGGCCACTCTGGTAGCCTAGGTTTTTTTTTTTTTTTTTTTTAAGTTGGGGACCGCGCCCAGCATCCCTCACAAAATTAGGTGGGGCCCTCGGCGGGCAAAGCATCATCAGCCAAGCACATCGAGGGTACCACTAAATTTCACCCTGCAGCCAACTCCACAGCCAAATCCACAGCCCCTACCACTGAAAAATCAACGAAATTTATCATCAAAGTCTAAAGTTCATCACTAAAAAATATAGTCATAATAGTCATGTGATTCCTAATTTAGTGACCTAAACTCCACCGACCATTAAGAAATCATGTGCAAAAGAAACTACCGAAGAAAAACGAATCAAAACCAGAAAAAAGAAACGAGTGGTCAGCGCTGCGTGATCATGTCTACCATCAATTCAGAGTTATTACCAACCCCTTCCAATACGCCCTACCACCCGCACGACAGGGGTTTGTGCCCACAAGCCCCAAACTGCTGACAGAGACCCCGCAAACCACCCACCTCCTCGCGATTTAAAGCGGATAGCACCTCCCCACACTCCTCTTTACAAAAACACCAACTCCCACCACGATGTTGTTTTCACTAACCAGGGGATTACCCTACCTCCCGCGCGGCAGGGGCTAAAAAGCCCTGCAAAACCTTCCCACCTCCTCGCGATTTAGGGTAAGCCTCTACCTCAATCTACATACACCCCCTACGGATGCTTCGCCTCCCTCCATGACAAAGCCCCTGTGGAGCAATGCTCACCACTCCTCCTTAAGAATTCAGATGACAACAAACAACAACCTATTAAGATGAAATGAATATCTAACCCAAATTTAACGTCTCAGCGATAATACCTTACCTCCCGCGCGGCAGGGGTCAAAGACCTCGCAAACCTACCCGCCTCCTCGCGATTTAGGGAAAACCACTTCCACTAATCTGCACCTTCTCACAAGGAAACCCCACTGTCCACCATAATGACGTTTCTACAGAGCGGCACTCTCTCTTTCATTCCATCTCATGCAAAACACTATACAAGAGTCGCAACTAATTACGACAACTGTTACCCAAATGGCGAAAAAGAACTCAGATAACTACAGAAACCAAATCCTGTCACAAAAAGATGAAAACGAAAGTCACGATTGTTCGACCCGAATATGTAACCAAACCCAATATCTTTATAAACCAGCAGTGATATCCCACCACCCACGCGGCAGAGGTCGAAGACCCTGCAAACCCACCCTCCTCCTCGCGATTCAGGGTATTAAACTACTCCACCCATCTGTGTCGGCTCCCAAAGAGACTCCGCCGCCCACCATGATGGAATCCCCGTGGAGCGACACTCACCGATTCGTGGCAGATTTCCTAAACCAAAGCAAAAACTTACACCAAACCAACAACAACAATCCAACACAAACAATCCACTATGTACAACTCTCTCTCTCTCTCTCTCTCTCTCTCTCTCTCTCTCTCTCTCTCTCTCTCTCTCT